TTCTCTCTACTGTATTAGGGCAATTAGCGTTTTTAGTTTTTTACCAGCTATTCAGGATTTTTCCGACCATAAATTATATCTAATAATTTCAAAAGTTTAAACAAAATATGGAAATATAGGTATCAGTTAAAAGAAAAATTCAAAACAATATTAATTATAACTTTTGTTTCCATTTATCCTTTTGGAACGTGTCAAAAATATCCTTTAAAAATATTATCCTTCAAGATTTTTAATTTCGAAAGCTTTAAAGATGCAGATTTACTAGAAATGCGTTCAAATATGGGAAACATATCGAATTTTCCACATTTAAAAAATTTGCATGGACGATTAGTTCAAGTTATTAACTAAAATTTCAACTAAAAGTCGGCACGGGTTATCGTTAATTAAAACAAAAACGTGTTTTTGGTCGAAAATGATGGTTCACCTATCTTAGAAAATGCATTATTCTCAGTTTGGATAAAGCAAGATTCCATCGCGAAAATGTATTTAAATGAATACTTAGTTGCGTATGTAACGTATACGCCCCGTAGCACCATACGCAGTCATGTAACACGTTTACTCACACGTCTTAACTTAAAAGCCATATTATTTAAAAGTAAATAAATATTGGCGTTTAAGCTTTTTACACAGAATTCCTTATGCACATACACTGCCGGAAAAAAGTATTGGCACAGCGATATTTGCTCAATGTATGCACCAATTTATATTCTAATATTTTTCCACTAATTTTTTATAAAAAATACAAAAATATAATTTCTAAACTTTATGCAAAGCTCGTGAAACTGCAATAAATTTTCATGAAAATTTTCAACTTTTTTTTTGCATTCTTTCCATATAAAGTAGTTTCGATTTTTTTTTTGTATGGAAGAAAAAAGTTGCGCGAAAAAAGTTGCTAAAAATCAACGGTAATTTGTAGCTACTTACAGCAATAAAATTTATTGGACTATAAATCTGCACACTCAAAAAATTCTAAAAGATCTGATTAAAAATATTTAAAATTTGCATGCAAATTTTCTGAATTTTCGCGAGTTTGCACAAAGTCTAGAAATTATATTTTTATGTTTTTTGTTGTAGAAATAACCATATGTCTATTCGCTTTTCTACATAATTCTGATAAATTTTTGTATTCAAATCACAGATTTCTCACGTTAAATGGATTAGCCTCATAGTTTCAATCTTTAACAAGATCTTATAAAAAGCGAATACTGTCAAGCGTTAGCTCAGACTTTCAAATGGTCAAATGTCCAAACAAAATTTGAGAAGAAATGACGGGGCAACGTTCTCAAATACATTATCTTCTCCAAAAGAGAGAAAATTAAAAAAAAAAAAAACAGTAAATAAGTAAGAAAAGAAAATCCAACGTTTTCCAATTCCATATATCTTTTCAAACTGATCTATGACCTCGTATGACAAAAAGTGTATATTTATTTAGAAATAAATATCAACCACAAAAAGACAGCTGGACAAGCTGAAAACATATTTTTACTACAAATTTTTCTTCCGTGGGATTTTTGCTTGTTTTTTTTTAGATTTATTTATTGCCATTGCATACAGAAACAGCTCAAAATTTTTCCATCAACATTTTCTGCCAGAGTGTCGTTCATTACACAAATGCTGCACTTGTCAATATTATATTTTCCTTTTTTTTAAAGGGCTGTGTGAAAATGGCGTGCATTAAAATTTTCCGAAGGTTCATAGTGTCTACATAGTGTATTTACACATACAATTTTAAACAGTTTTGTCCAAATATACATATGTATATCTATTTGTACGCTCATGTTCATGTTTGCAAGGAAGTATTGCGCCACCAGCGAGACGGCCAGGCTCAACAGTTCGGGGGGTAGACAGAAGCGCGGGCGATCATTATCATTTGCTATGATGGCAAAGGCGCGCACAAACGTCAATCAAATACTCGATGACTCTAAAGTCAAACTAAAATATTATTTTCTATATTATTTTTAGTTTAGCAAAAATAACTTCATATCCATTACTTACATAATATGTTGATATTTTACGAGAGCTATGCCACATATGTACGTGCAAGTGTATACATATATGTTGGTATACATTAGGGTGTATCACTGCCTATACAAAGATCGGTATTGTTTACCCATAGGAATTATAAAATTTATTATATTTTAAGACTCCCGCCAAAATATATCAGAAGGATATTAAAAATTTACGTGAGCTGCACCCATTTGAAAATATCTCCAAAAATCTATATCTCTTTTTTTAAACATTTTTATGCAGACCTTTAGAGCTTAAAAACTTCTGAGTAAAAATTTTTGAAGTGGACCACCATTTTTCGAGGGTCGATACAAAATACATTGGGCGACAAAAGAAAACCGTGAATAACTTTCGTCTCGATGCATTGCGGAAAAATTTTTTTCTGCAAATAATTACTAATAGAACGTACAACAATATTAGTCCAAAACGCCATTTTAAAGCCATTGAGATGTCAGTAATATTAAAAAAAAAATAATAATAACTTGTATAAAAAAAAATTATGGCCAAATAAAAAATAAAAATGGTAAGAAAACACCATCATTCTCACCTGCTTAAAATATGAGCAGAATAGGTATTACCAATCGGGAGAAAACAATTAAAATCTAAACAATTTCGAAAAACTTTATAAGCTATAACTTCCAAAATAATTCGAATTTCGAAAATTTGTGAAACTTGTATTTTTCTATTATCGTTGTGAAGCATAAACAGATAATTGCACAAAAAAAGCTCGACCCTCGAAAAAACGGTGGCCCACTTCACAAAGTTTTAATCTTCTATCATCTGGGGTTATTTTTAAAAATAATTTTTACGGGGAGTCTTAGAATATAAATTAAATTTTGTCATTCCGGTGGCAAACCCGCAACTTTTTTTTGTGAGGCACCCTAGTGAACATATGCGCGCAGCAGAGAAGGGTGTAAGATGCTGAATTCACAAATAAACATTGATGTTCTCGCGTTGTACAACACATGCTTCACATTTAGATATGTACTTCCATATGAATATGTACATACANCGCGCCCTCTTCTCATATAGTTAGTAAAAGTTACAGGCGGGTCAGGCGCTGACCGCGCGGTCGCCGGCCACTCAAACTCATTGAACGCATTTAAACAGAATTACCCCAAGCCGAAAATTTTGTAAGTATACCTACCATATTATAGTGTTTTATGAGTATTTAAGCTGCTGCCCAAATTCATGCAAAATCTCCCCCTACATTGATGAAAACAAAATTTCACTACCTTTTTTTTTTGTAACAGCGATCTGGAACAATGACAGCGGCGCGGCCATCGTCATCACAACGCATCGCATCGCGCAGCGCATAATTGGCAGCCATGATGTTGGCGCGGCCTGGATGCTGTGTTGTATGGAGATGGATGAATGACTCGACTCCGACGGCTGGTTGACTGACTGATTCTACATATGACTCTGCTTGACAGCTGGCCTGTGCGGTTGTGCGGTGATGAAGTGTACCTACTATGTGGAAATGCCATCATAAATATCTACCATACGAAGGTAGGAAGGAGGCTATACATAGTACATAGGCATGCGGGTGTGCCTGTATATATGTATGTGCGTATATACACATACATATGTATTTGCAAAGCGTCAGATCAGTCAACCACGCCGGCTTCCGAAACAATTTTAAATCAGAGCGAAAATAAATCACTTTAATCATACAAAATGCAGATTGGGTAAAACAAACAATTCTCTTTCTATGCGTGTTTGTTTGTTCGTTTTGTCGCAAGCAAAAATAATGATCAACGTTTGTTCACTATAATAAAAAAACACGTTGTCATTCAGAGAGCGGACGAACTGCCGATCCTTGCATATGCGTTGGTAATATATTTTTTGCGGTTACTCGTCCCGGCAAAATTTTTTAAACAAAACATTTTCAAGGCAATGTGTATACTAATGCTGTTAATGGATATGAAAATGTTTTTTTTTTACTCTTAAATATTTTGAAGTAAGCAATTGCCATAAAAAATCTACTAATATTGGTAAATAATTTTGTATGTGTCTCTAAAAATCTTTCACCCAAATTCATAAAAAATAAAGGAGACTTAAATAGCTTTATAAATCGAAATTTTGTATGAAAATGTCACTTTATAGAGCTCTTTAAAAATATTTTATTTTTTATGAATAAGGACATTAAATTTTCTTTAAATAATAAAAATGTGCTTTTTCCTTGTCTTCGTTTTCAAATATTTTTGTAGAGCAGTAACAAAAGATTTATGTCCGATTTATTTGATTTAATATTTTTATTTTTATGATTTTTTTTAATTTTTCTTTGTTAAAACTATTTCTGCTACAAATATAAGGATGTTTAATGGTTCAATTTAAATTTTTTTTAGCTCAGAAAAACGTATTCATGACTTTTATTTTTTTTTTTTTGCGCAAGCATTTTTTTAGTAATTTCTAATATATCATATCTTTTACATAGACATTTTGTTTTGTTGTGGCAACTGTGCTTCATTAAAAAAGGTTTTAAATACATACATACATACATACCAATTTATCGAATATTAAGTATTAAAGTTCCCACTTTATTTATAATTTTTTATATCTTTTGCATCAGTGAAATATAAATATAATTTTTTTTTTGTAAATGTTCCCATATACACATGAATGCATTTCATTTTACACTTTCTAGACTTTTTTGTGGTTTTTCCTAGTTAGTTTTTTTGCAATCCATTAAAAAAATTTTCTGCACTCAAACATCTAATACAAAATTATATTTAGTTATACATACATATGAAAATGTATTATTAATACCAAACACATTTTGAATGCACTATTTTTGCATATTCTCCATAACTCCAGTTTCATGTTAAAAATGTTGCCAGAAATCCTTCAAAATTGTTTCACTCTCACACACATACATATCGCACAAATTAATGGTCGCCAAATCGTTTTTTTTCTCTCGAAAACACAACGGAATCGTTTTATTTGAATTTCTTAATATAATTTTTATTTTCCATAATTCACCTTCAACTTACGTTATTAAGAACATTTGTTTGAAGAAACTTAAAAAATAGACGTTTTCAAGACATTTGTAAGTTTTAAGTTATTAAACTTTTTGTTCGCTTAACTACACTACTCTACATTAACTTAGAGAAAAAACTTAAGAAAAAAGTTTCTTTCTATTTTCCAATTTTTTTTTTGTATATTTTGCCGCCGCCGCGGTAGTAACTAGCTTAGTTCGATCCGGTTGCGTTTTTCGTCGAGTTTACGTTGAGACTGAAGCGTTGCGCGTCGTGCAATCAGTGTTTAAAGTCAAACGAATCGGTGCGAAGATCAACAGCGTTGACTCGCTATACGCTGATCTTCGTATCGAGGCGCAATAAGGCAACTACATACAAAGCCAGTTGTGGCACATTAAAAGAGAGAGAGTTGTACAGTAGAGCATGGATGGTTGGAATCAACCTATTGAGGTACGCGATTTTAATGTTACAGTTAATTTAGTGTAATTTCACAGTATTACTGGGCTGGGTGCCGGGGCACGAGGGCCATGACGGCAATGAACAGGCGGACCGCCTAGCAAAACACGGAGCTACCACACTATTCCATGGCCCGGAACCCTTCTGCGGGCTCACCAAAGCCCACTTAAGGGAGGTCATAAACAAGTGGGTCGACAAAAAATTCGAAAGGCACTGGAATGAATGTCCGGGGCAAAGACAAGCTAAGCGGTTCATCTGTCCATCACAAGAAGCTTCAAAAAAGCTCATAAATCTAGGCAGGGAGGACCTTCGAACTCTCACTGGGTACTACACGGGACATTGTTCCCTGCGTTATCACCTCAGTAAAATGAATCTTTCAGACACGAGCGTCTGTCGCTTCTGTGAGATGGACGAAGAAACGCCAGAACACATCCTTTGTGAATGTGTTGCTCTCGCTAGACGCAGACTCGCTCACCTAGGTGGTACAACACTTAATCCATTCGAAATATGGAACAAAAAGCCCACCGAAGTGCTAGCTTATATTAAAAGCCTTCATATATAGGGTAAAAGGCCACGCACAATAGACCACCTTAGAGGTCGCAGTGCTCAAGGCTCATAATAATAATAGTGTAATTTGGATGTGATAACTAGGGATGTTACGAGTACTGACTAATTTCGAGTACTTTTGTAAGTAATGAGTACTTTTGAGTACTCAGTTTTGATACTTTTAAAAATCCTTTACTGTCAATACTTTTCGTATCGGTACTAGCCAACACTAAAATACTGTCAAAACAAACGTCTCTGTCTGACCTTGCCTTAATATCACTGCATCAATGAATTAAAAAAGCAGCCTGACGATCATCAGTTACTACTTATGTATTGTCTGTCTTCACAGACTGAGTTAAGTCATAAAATTCCATTTAGAGTAATTATTGAATTTGACATTGTTATACTAAAACAATTATGGCACCACTGTAGATATCCTGCGGTTTCTGGGAGAAAAAATTTAATGATTTATATTGAACTATTTTGTAGTCCACCTAATACCATTAAGGTAGTTCGGCAGAAACCGAAACAAATTATAATATGACGATGTAAGGTACAGGCTTTATGGTGGGAACATCAAAACTTCCAAGCCTAACTCTAGCTAGCCTAGTTGTGCTGAGTTATCGAACTTGTGTAAGGTCTGACGTTGTTATGATGAAAAACCACTCCTTTTCTCTAAATTAATAATGAGAAATAGTTTGTTTTTAATCAATTGCTTTAATTTGATTAGACATATACATATGTATATAGATAGTAGAAATCTAAATCAATCGTTGGGCCGGACGGTAACACTTCATATTGGACAATTATCTTCAGCAGAGTCAATCTTGATTTTGCCACCGTTTGGCTGTCTTTCTACTTCTTGGACCATGACCGTTTTTTTCGCACGCTATCGTCGCAAGAAAACTGTTATTCACCATCAGTAATCTCGCTTCAAAAATGGTTCGAAGAAAATTTCAAAATTTTAATAGCTAACTTGTACATATAAGGTAGCCAAACGTTTAGTTTATTTTTGTTTTCAGCCTTCTTCAAAATGTTTAAAACTCTTTAGAGATGGCTCTTTTGTTGCCTAGCGTTGACCGCTTACATATTTCTCAACGATTGGAGGTATTTCGACGACTTCCGCAATGATTGGTCAACAAAACCGTGGTACATCTTTAATATCGAAATTACCAAATTGGAAGCGAGCTAACCATTAATTGGTGACTCTTTCTGACACGGTATTCTCTCAATAAAGAGCACCGATTTTTTTAGCTGCCTCTAAGGTGTTTTTCTTTTTCTTGAAGTAAATTTTCACAGTATAGCCAATTTTCTATTAATTTTTACCACAGTATACTGTGATTTTTACTAATTTTCAAACTATTAAATACATATGTATGTTAAATGGTTTCTAATTATCTGAGTTCCACTTACCCACTCTTTACTGTATGCTATATTGTATGTATTCCCGTGTGCATATAAGTTGATTAAGAAATTTCGAGCTGCTGGCAATGCCACTCTCCATATTAGCCGCTCACTAAAATATTGCTTTGCCGGTCGAGTGTTCCTCCTCAAATACCTTGTGTGCTTCGCCATACGAATCTAGCTATGATTAGTAACTGAAAAACTCTCTTAAAAATGTAATGAGTAGTGAAAGAGAATCTAAACATTTAAGAGATCAAAGTTTTAGTGTTGGAAAAGGCGGGAAATAATAAACATAAACTTCACTTAGAGCGCGAAGAAAATTATAAAAGTCGTTATTGTAATTTGATTTATAATTATACAAATAAGCCGCTGGTCTATTGGAAGTACATTGGGGGGTCCATGTACTTCCAATAGTCACATCCTTTTTATACAAAAATTCTTTGTGCTTACCATGTGATTTCCTCTAGTTTGCCGCAAACAATGCAAAATCTTTGGGTGAAATATGTACGACTAAGGAAATGTAGCACGCGCTCAGGCGCATAGTAAAATAGTACAAATATTTGTATTTTCGTGAATAGTTCCTGTCAATTTGTGTGCGCTTGGAAGTATTTGATTCAATAAAATGATTTGAACTGAGCTAGTTTCACCGGATGTAAAATATTCTGGCACCAAAAATATAGAGTACGTTCAGGGACAACTTGTAATGTAGACAGAATTTATTTCCGCTGCACTTGCTGTTCATTTCTGAGCGCTCGCTAGGAAAGAGCAAGTTGGCTTACTAAAATGATTTTTTGAGAACCGACCACGTGTGAAATTCGACGACGCATGGGGCTGTGTTGAGAAAAAATTTTCCATTGCCATACTGGCCATCTCAGTGAGAATTTTATAAATGTGGAAGTTAACTAGTACTGCTTATTTTCCTGGCCTGTCGATTTGCCGGATGTCAAATTTTCTTCTACGAAAAGGTAGCATACGTTGAGGAGCATGATGCGTTATGCTGTGAAAAAAATTTCCGCTGGCATTTGCTTCTTCTTTTTATGAGCGCCTGGTAGAAATTTGCAAGTGATCACAAAAAATCTCTAAAAGAATAGCAGACGCGCCTAATAGCATGCAACATTTAGTTACATGCTCCGCATACTACAACACCCTTTTCGGGCGTTGTTGCATGTTCTGTGCCATTTTTCGTTCTCTTTCACTAACAGACTTTCCCTACATATGTTTACGGTGACCAGATTTCTGTGGCCAAAAACCGGGACATTTCTAAAACATCGAATCCGAACATACAATTAGGTTTTTAGAACAAAAAGACATAACATCTTTTAATACAGTTTTATTTAATTCAAACAAAGAGAAAAAAAACTCGTAAAACTATCACAATAATGTATTCACAGAATATACATATCGATTGCTGAGTGGAAGATCGACCTATCTCGGCAACCAGTTCGAAAATGCTCTATCTCAAAAAACTTTTCAAGAACGCCTTATTTCAGAATTCGTTTCAAAAACGCCCTATCTCAGCTGCCGATTCAAAAACGACCTATATCAGCATATTTTCAATACATTTTGAAGTGAGATAGGGCGTTTTTGTAAATAGGAAAATAAAATTTGAGCAAGTTACCATCAAAAAAATCATATAAATCCCAATTTCCAACTTTGTAGAACACTTATAAAACTCCGACGAATTTTAATAAAATTTTAAACATTTTAATCAGGTTTTCTAGAATTATTTTGAGTATGCAGCTTTGTAGTAGAGGTTTACGCCGACAGGCTTTGCGGCGGCGGCGTGTTCAACTTCAAAAAGAATCGGCGGCGGCGGCGACGCCGGCGCGTCTGGAAACGCCGGCGCTACTGCCCATAAGGTAGAGTCCAAAGAGCCATGAGGCTTCTAATCTCATCATGTCATCAGATTATAATTCTATTTAATTCATTCATTGAATTCAAATGTTGAGTGACTGCTGCTGATGGATGGGCGAACAGAAGAAAGTCTATATAGTATATACATTAGGTTTCCCATTGAAAATGATTTTTTTTGAAAATTTAAAGACCCTACCCCCTAATTTGATTCGTTTTT